GAGAGACACAGCGAGAGAGGGAACACAAGCAGGGGGAGTGGGAGAGGGAGAAGCAGGCTTCCCGCTGAGCAGGGAGCCCGATGTGGGCCTCGATCCCCGGACCCTGGGATCATGACCTGAGCTGAAGGCAGACACTTAACCAACGGAGCCACACAGGTGCCCAGGAATGACTTTTAAATGGTAGCCAAGGGGAGAAGAATCAGTTTCTTAAAAATACAATGAAAATTCGGGGCGCCTGGGTGGCTCAGTTGTTAAGTGTCTGCTTTCGGCTCAGGTCATGGTCCCAGGTCCTGGGATCGAGTCCCACGTCTGGCTCCTTGCTTGGCGGGGGAGCCTGCTTCTCCCTCTGCTTGCCGCTCCCCACTGCTTATGTGCTCTGTCTCTCATTCTCTGACAAATAAATAAATAAAATTTAAAAAAATGTTACATTTAGCATACATATTTCATATTATATGTCTTATAATTCTGGTATCTAATGTCTTTGTGAATCTTTTTCTGCTATTGATTCTGCTGGTTCTTGCATTTGGTGTTTTGTTTCCTTCTGTATTCTGATTTATGACAGTGAACTGCCTTGACCACCTTGAACTTAATTCTTGGCTTGAGATTTTTGGACCATCCAGATAGTGGGAATTTGGCCACAAACTCTCATGAGGGATGGCTTGTGGTTATGATTCCTCAGGGTTGATAGGGTTGATTCTTGCTGCTTCTCTACAACACCAAAGCTCAAGGTGGACAGTTTTACTCTCAGTCCTTTGGAAAGACTTTCTATCTCACCCTTATACTGATAGCATAGCCATTAAAGATCCCAGTTTAATGAAAAAAGTATTTTTTATTAGAATCCTTACCTTAGGTGGGCCCTGGACTTCATATCTTATTATGAATTTTTTTGAGGCTATAAATACTGAAATTCAAGTTCACACTGGTTGGCAAATTCCCTCAAATCAAAAGCTGGCATCAGTGTTCTCTTTACTGTCTCTGGATTCCCGCCTTAGTTTTTGCCCTGACCTTTCTATACTGTCTTGTTAACTGATATATATAAGAACATTAAAAAAATACATTTTGTCTAACATTTTTAGTTGTCAGCAGGAAGATGGATTAAGGTAAATGGTCTGTCAGTGTTGTCTGAAACCAAACTTCTGCTCTGACTTTGTTTTAGGACTCTGGGGCCTGGTCAACAATGCAGGCATTTTTCACCCACATTGCTACAGTGAGTGGCTGAAGATGGAAGACTATATGGATGTCCTCAAAGTGAACCTCATTGGTTTGATTGAGTTGACCTTGAGCATGCTTCCCTTGGTGAGGAGAGCACGGGGGAGGATTGTTAATGTCTCCAGCATTCTGGGAAGAATTGCTTTCTTTGGAGGAGTCTACTGTAGTTCCAAGTATGGAGTAGAAGCCTTTTCAGATGTTCTCAGGTAATGCTCTTAAGTTAAAACAAAAGCAACAAATATGTCTTAGGCACTGTGCTCATTGCTTTCACCTACATTATCTTATTTCATTACTCCAAAAATCTTGATTTGTAGATATTATTGCTAGTCTGTTTTATATAGGAAACTGAGGCTCAGATTTAAGTCTCTTTACCAAAGTTCACCTGCCACCACCTGGATTTGGCCGAACTGTGTTTTGACCCCAGGTCTTTGTGTCCTGCCTCCACATCACACTTTTCATTCTCAAGATTTATCCTTGATAAAATTTCATTTCTTGGGGCACCTGGGTGGCTCAGATGGTTAAGCATCTGCCTTCGGCTCAGGTCGTGATCCCAGGGTCCTGGGCTCCCTGCTCAGCGGGGAGTCTGCTTCTCCCTCTCTCTCTGCTGCTCCCCCTGCTTGTGTGCTCTCTCTGTCAAATACATAAATAAAATCTTTAAAAAAAATTTCATTTCTGAAGAGAAGATGACTGTCTTCTTTCCTCCTTACAGTGAGCCTGTCCTTGTCTCTCTATGGTGACTTTCTTTCTCTCTGGGCGCTCATCTGCTTTACTCTGTATTTCTCTTTCTTTCTTTCTCTTTCTTTCTTTTTCTTTCTTTCTTTCTTTCTTTCTTTCTTTCTTTCTTTCTTTCTTTCTTTCTTTCTTTCTTTCTTTCTTTTTTAAAGATTTTATTTATTGACAGAGAGAGGCACAGCGAGAGAGGGAACACAAGCAGGGGGAGTGGGAGAGGGAGAAGCAGGCTTCCCGCGGAGCAGGGAGCCCGATGCGGGGCTCGATTCCAGGACCCTGGGATCATGACCTGAGCCGAAGGCAGATGCTTAACGACTGAGCGCCCCTGTATATCTCTTCTTTATCTGAGAACTTCTTTTCTTAGAACTTCAGTTTGCCATGGCCCATAATGGCCCTGCCTCTACCTCCTGGCTTTTTTTCATGCACTGTTTCATCTTTGTGTAGCTCTATCCACTGCTTCCTTTTTATATTTCCCTTTATCTTTTCCTTCCTAAGAGGGAGGACTCTGTTAGCTGTGTTTATTTTCTGTGTGTGTCAGGAGACCTGTTCTGTGACATTTTTGTGCACTTATTATGTGCCAGTTACTGTTGCGAGTATTTTACATCTCACAAGTCATTTAATTTTCATAGCAACCCAATGAGGAAGGTATTATTTTTATCATTATTGTATGTGTGAGGAAACAGGGGTGCAGAGGTTAGTAAGTCACCATGGTCACAACACAGGTAATAACAGGCAGAGCTGCTCTCCAGTCCTAAGCAGGGCTCTCCTCCCACCAAGTACCATCTCTGGTCCAGTTAACTGGGGACATGATGGGGTAGTCACATGGCACAAAATATTGCTGCACAGACTCCCCATTTAGCAGGAACTGACTTTAGGGCAGTTTCACACTTGGGAATGAGCTGTGAATATTTTAGGCACCGTGTATTAGCTTCCTCTGGCTGCTGTAATTTTTCTTTTTTAAGATTTTATTTTTTTAAGTAATCTCCACACCCAACTTGGGGCTCAAACTCACAACGCCAAGACCAAGAGTTGCATGCTCTGTCGACTGAGCCAGCCAGGCGTCCCATGGCTGCTATAATTTACAGTGTCTGAAAACAACACATATTTATTCCCTCATAGCTCTGGAGGCCAAAGCCTGAAATCTGTGTTATTGGGCCAAAATCAGATTGTTGACAGGGCCAGGTTCCTTCTGAAGGCTCTAGGGGAGAATCTGTTCTGCGCCTCTTCCAGCTTCTGGGGGCTGTCAGCATTCCTTGGCTTGTGGCTACATCACTCCAGTCTCTGCCCCCAAGTTCACGTTGCTTTCTTTTCCTCTATGGGTCTTCAAATTTGCCTCTGTCTCTCTTATAAAGACAGTTGTGATTGCTGGTGCCTGGGTGGCTCAGTCGGTTAAGTGTCTGCCTTTGGCTCAGGTCATGATCCCAGGGTCCTTGGATCAAGCCCTGCATTGGGCTCCCTGCTCAGCAGGGAGTCTGCTTCTCCCTCTCCTCCTTGCTCATGCTTTCTCTCGCTATCTCTGTCTCTCTCTCAAATAAATAAATAAAATCTTAAAAAAAAAAGATAGTTGTGATTACACATCCAAATTATCTAGCATAATCTCCCTGTCTCAAGATCCTTAATTTAATCACAACTGCAAAGTGTCACATAGGTGACATTTATAGGTTCCAGGGATTAGGACCTGGTATCTTTGGGGGCCATTATATAGCCTACCACGTGCCATGACTAGTAGATGTCTCTTATAATATGCATATTGTATTATCTGCCTAGGAAGGGAATAGGGAAATAATTGAGGAAGTCATATGAGTTGTCACCAGGCACCTTGCTTGGCTTCCAACCTAACTGACCTTCTGTCTGCCTCCACGGGGCTGCTGCCTGCTGATTTATCACCACTCACGACTGGTGTCTCAGACCCCTTGACTCATTCTCAGACCAGGAGCAAAGAATGTCTTTCCAATGTTCAAATCACAGATTCCTTTAGAAAATTCTCATGTGCTTTAATTGTGCTAAGGCTGAACAGGGAAAGGAAGTTCTGTCCCACTTATGAGCTGGAGTTTTAAAGGGAATGCAGGTGTCTTGGTGTGATGGGAATCACCGTGAGGAAGCTACAAGGGGAAGTGGAATTTTAGGGCAGAGGCGCCACTGGCTTGCACGGCCCTCTCTCTTCTCCAGCACATACGGGCACCTGGAGAGTCTCTGAGGCTCTACCATGGAAGGTTTTAGATTTTGCTTTGATAAGGGAGGCTTTTCCTTTAGAAAAGTGGTTTTCAACCTCTAGGATGCGTCAGAGCCAGCTGGATGGATTATTCACGCAGATTGTTGGGTCTCACCCCCCAGTTTGACTTAATAAATCTGGACTAGAGTCCAATAATTTGTATTTCTAACAGGCTCCCAGATGCTGATGTTGCCATTTACCTGGGGACCACACTTTGAGAACCACTCGCCGCTTTAGAGGGTCATGATGCTTTGTGTTTTACCTTCTTCTGGACCATTATTTCAAACATTTCTCCTTGACATCAGCTTGGGCTTCACCTTCTCCAGTGAGGCCACTTCAACCTCTAGATTAGGGAACACCCCTCATCACTGTCCCCTAAACACCTGGAGTATACCTCTCCTGTGGGACACAACGACATCTTATTTCACTTGGTGAAGGCAGCACTTAGCACAGTGCCTGGTACATACCCAGCGCCTGAGAAGGATTTTGGAACTGTTTGTTGAACTAACCTGAATATTCTAGAATGACCAATGACTTGTAATTTTCATGGCCACCTCATATTCCATTAATGGTCTCTTGTAGTCTTTGAATACATGGTAATTCTTCAGAGGCCTGTGCTCTTGAAGGTCCAGTTCCCACTACCTGGTATTCTGCTCTCTCTTCCCCTTTCTTCACTCAGAATTTTCCTCTTTATCTTTCAAGCCTCAGCTGAAACATTCTCTCCTCATTGAAGCCTTCCCTGACTCCCTCAGAAAATCTATCTGCCTCCTCCTGTCTACATATGTAGCCCCTTGAATACCTCTCCTTTATAATTCTGAGTTGTGTTACAATTATTTGCTTACTTGTCGGATTCATCCACTGTGAACGTTTTGAGGCTAACTGAGCCTTAATTTTCTGAGATGTGCATGTAAGAAGCTTAGCACAATAGTTGCCATAAAAATGCTAACTTTCCTGATTCTTCCTTGTATTCTGCATGGCTCTACAGTCCAACACATGGTAGGGACTCAGTAACTGTGAAGAGTGGATGTAGAATTGAATGGTTATGGTAGTTTGTGTAATCCTGTCCCAATTTTTGGACCTAGGGATATTAAAAAATTTTTTTTCTTTTCCTCTCCATTTCTTTATCCTTTAAAATATTCAGTAGAGATGTTTTTATACACTTGTTTTGTTTTCCTCCCTGAGAGCATTGAAATTGTGTCTTCCAAGCAAAAGAGTTAACTCAAGGGTTTTTATTTTCAGGCGTGAGCTTCAACATTTTGGGGTGAAAATCAGCATAGTTGAACCTGGCTACTTCAGAACCGGAATGACAGAATCACAGCGGTGCTTAGAGAAACTAAAGCAAGCCTGGGAAGAAGTCCCTGTGCATATTAAGGAAGCCTATGGACAGAAGTTTTTTGATACCCGTGAGCTTTTCTTTGGATAGGATAACGGCTAACCTTGCCTGAGAAGGGGAAAAGAGGGTTGGCGAAGAAGGATGAACAGGTCCTCTGAGAACAAAGCTCCTTAAACAAAGCCTTCCCAGGACAGGAGGGGTTTGGGAAGGTCCCAGTGCCCTCATGGTTGGCTTGGTGATGGCTGTCATGGCTGAGGAAGAGGTTATATGGACAGCCTAGGGCCAAGGCCACATGGGTGCTAGGGAGGTATTACATGGTTAGAGGCCCAGAACCTCTGGGTGTGCCCCTCTGTAGTTTGGTGGGGCTGGTGTGGGAGGCCCGCACAACTGAAGTACAGGCTTCAGTATTGTCTACCCTTTTGGTAACAAAGGGCCCAGGCACAAACTCCATGTCTTACTGTGGGAGGAGGGAGGGTATGTGTGGGCAGGGGGAAGTGGGTGAGGACCAGCTTTGCAGCGCTTTATTGGCTGTGCCCAGAGACTGGACCCCATGTGCAGCCCTCAGGAGCTTCATGGGAGTGAGATGGTTCAATTTCTTTCTTTTTTTTCTTTAAAGATTTTTACTTACTTATTTGACAGAGAGAGACACAGCGAGAGAGGGAACACAAGTAGGGGGAGTGGGAGAGTGTGAAGCAGGCTTCCCGCTGAGCAGGGAGCCCGATGTGGGACTCGATCCCAGGACCCTGGGATCATGACCTGAGCCAAAGGCTGCCCAATGACTGAGCCACCCAGGTTCCCCTGGATGGTTCAATTTCTTGTAAGAATGGCATTCTTATGACCTGGAAGAGGAGGCAGTTTGGGGGTAGAGGCAAAGCAGTCTTTTTCATAGAAGTAAGTCATGCACGTTGGTGTGTGGTTCCATCTCCCTGGGGGCAGTGATGCTTTCTCTTCACACAAAGGAGTTAGCAGCTTGCCAAGACCAAAGGGAGCAGCTCTCCTTTCACAAAGGGACCTGTGATGGGTGGGTAGCAGCGGCTCTGTCACTGGCTTTGAGTGATACTGTAGTCCCAAGAAAGAAAGGCAGACGGAAGTGCAGACAGAAGACTCCCAACCTACAGCATGTCTTCTGGGTGCATCAGGCCTAAGAGGGTCACCGATAGCAGAGGGGAGAAAAACTGGATCAAGAAAAAGCTAGCACAAAATGGTGCCTGAGCCTCTCAGAACTCATAGCAAGCTAGGGAACTACAGTTCCCAACATGCCAGAGGGCCAGCCGTAGTTGTAAACTCTTTCCCATCTAAGGTTTTAAACTGGGTATTAGGGAATTTTTCCCCCTTCTGGATACCTATAGTTTGACAGTAGAAATTAAGAGGGAAATAGAATTTATTGTAGTGACTATACATCAAAGTATATATAGATATAAAAGGATATATATATTTCATGATTTAAAAGGAGTTGAGGGGCACCTGGGTGGCTCATTGGTTAAGCATTTGCCTTCAGCTCAAGTCATGATCCCAGAGGTCTGGGATTGAGTCCCATATTGGGCTCAGTGGGGAGCCTGCTTCTCCTTCAGCCTGCTCTGCCTGCCACTCCCCTTGCTTGTGCTCATGCTCTCTCGCTCTCTCTCTGACAAATAAAATCTTTAAAAAAAAAATTAAGGGAGTTGAAATTGTTCATAGAGTTATTATCAATATAAAGTTGTTAGTAAGGTATTTTTTATTATTTTTCTTATTAGTCTTTGAGAATTGGTGTGTATTTTACACTTACAGCATATCTAAACTTGGATAAGATTGCTGACCACCATTTCTCTTTTTGTATACAGATTACGATGGTGTTAAGGGCTGGTGAAATGTAGCACAAACCTGAACCTGGTCACTGACTGCATGGAACATGCTTTGACATCTGTGCCTATCTAAATTTTCCTAGGAAATACTTCATCTGTACATTAAGAAAATTTAGAGTTGCCACCAGCATTACTTATAAGAATAAAAAATACCTTATTAACAACTTTACATTGATAATAAGTACTGAAATGATAGTATTTTGGATATGTAGGATTAAATAACTGTATTATTAAAATTAATTAATTTCACCTGTTTCCTTTTTTTAAAGTGGCAACTAGAAAATTTAAGATTATATATGTGGCTCTCATATTTCTGTTGGATAGCACTGGAAATTATTTTCATCCATGGACAACTCCAAAAATACTAAAACATTTTCCAGTAATGGATTTGAGTTTTAAAATTAAAATTAATTAACATTTAAAAATTCAGTTTTTAGTCATACTAGCTGAATTTTAAGTGTTCAACAGCTACATTTGGCTAGTGGCTATCACTGGGAAGCATAGATCTGATCAGCCTAATCCTTGTAGAAATTAAATGTAGTTAGACTTCTGTGACTGGGTATAACAGGATCTTAACATTAAAATACAAGGAATAAGATTGGGGCGCCTGGGTGGCTCAGTCGTTAAGTGTCTGCCTTCAGCTCAGGTCATGATCCCGTGGTCCTGGAATCGAGCCCTGCATCGGGCTCCCTGCTCAGGGGGAAGCCTGCTTCTTGTTCTCCGAGCCCGCTTCTCCCTCTCGCTCTGCCTCTCCCACCGCTCATGCTCTCTCTCTCTCTCAAACAAATAAATAAAATCTTAAAAAAAAAAAAAATACAAGGGATAAGATTGCTGACCACCATTTCTCTTTTTGTATACAGATTACGATGGTGTTAAACAAGGGCTGTTGAAATGTAGCACAAACCTGAACCTGGTCACTGACTGCATGGAACATGCTTTGACATCTGTGCATCCCCGCACTCGATATTCAGCTGGCTGGGACTCTCTGTTTTTCTTCATTCCTCTATCTTATTTACCCACATCACTGTCAGACTACATATTGACCAGATCTTGGCCCAAACCAGCCCAGGCAGTCTAAAGAAAACTGGTGTGATGGCTCTTGAAATGAAGAAGACAGAAGTCTGAAATTGATAATTAGTGTCTCAGTAATCCTTATTAGGAACTAACATGTTTATATTCCAGATATCCAAAGCTTATTCCTTGAGGTGATGAATTTTTACTATTTTAAGCATTTTTGATGAGAATATTTCCAAAATACATCATTCTTTGCCTATGAAACAGAGTAGACTGAAAACAGTTTGGATATTATTTCCTTATGTAAATGAATAGTTCTGTGCTATGATACACTATTGCTCGAGGACTATTGAGAAATAAAGAGCCTGTGTATCCTTATTTGTGCTATGGTACTTGTTTTTTTTTGGTACTATGGTATTTTCAGTAAATATTTCATTTTGCTTTCTTCTCTCTGTCAGCTATTTTTGATGATGTTTCTTCCTTGTTTAAAAATAAATGATTTTTAATTTTGTAAATTAAAATAATATACACACACGTAGTTAAATGTTCAGTTAATACTCAAAAGCTTAAAAATAAAAAACAGCAGTTCCCCACCCTTCATTGCTGCTCCTCAGAGGTAAATGCTTTCAACTTTTAGCTATTGCTTCCGATATTAACCTCTGTATTTCTAAATAATATACTGTTATTTCTTGATTTATTAAGTTTAGACATTCTCAGTTGATTTCCCATTAAGAAAAATCCTGTTGAGGGGCGCCTGGGTGGCTCAGTTGTTAAGCGTCTGCCTTCGGCTCAGGTCATGATCCCAGGGTCCTGGGATCGAGCCCTGCGTCGGGCTCCCTGCCCCATGGGAAGCCTGCTTCTCCCTCTCCCACTCCCCCTGCTTGTGTTCCCTCTCTCACTGTGTCGCTCTCTGTCAAATAAATAAATAAAATCTTTTAAAAAAAAAATCCTGTTGGGGCGCCTGGGTGGCTCAGTCATTAAGCGTCTGCCTTCGGCTCAGGTCATGATCCCAGGGTCCTGGGTTCGAGCCCCGCATGGGGCTCCCTGCTCCGCAGGAAGCCTGCTTCTCCCTCTCCCACTCCTGCTTGTGTTCCCTCTCTCGCTGTGTCTCTCTCTATCAAATAAATAAATAAAATCTTAAAAAAAAATCCTGTTGATTTTCCTATTAGTTTATTTATACCACTTTCCTGACCATTTCCTGTATCCCCGTATTTTTAATAAAATCTTATTAGTAATTAATAGTGTTTGCATTGTTAAGTATGTGAATATTGATTACTGTTCAGTCAAGTATTTTTCCTTTATAGTACCATTTTTTTTTGTTTTTCTTAGAGTTAATTGTTGCTTGCTTTTTTAGTTGCACTGTTCTTAATATACTTTAATTTTTTTGGTTCTCTCAGATGGCAGAACACTATCGGTAGTAGTTTTAGATAGTTAAACAGGTTATCCATTCCATTTCAACTGGTCCAATACAGGATCACACTTTGATTTAGTTGTTATGTCCCTGTACTCTCATTTAACCTATAATAGTTTCTTAACTTCAAAAAAAAATCTTTTATGATACTGACATTTTTGAAGAATACTAGTTATTTTGTAAAGCATCCTTCCATTTGTATAGACTGTCCTCATGATCAGATCCAGGTTTTGCATTTTGGCAGAAATGCCACAGAAGTAATATGTATCCCTCTCAGTGCATCATATCAGTGGGCATAGATGTCAGTTTATCTCATTATTGGTGATGTTGTTAAGTTTGAACCTTTGGTTAAACTAGAATCTGCCAAGGGGCACCTGGGTGGTTCAGTCGATTAAGTGTCTGCTTTCGGCTCAGGTCATGATCCCAGCATCCTGAGATCAAGTCCTGCAGTGGATTCTCTGCTCAGTGGGGAGTCTGCTTCTCCCTCTTCCCCTGCTCATGCTCTCTCTCTCTCTCTCTCTCATTTGCTCACTCTCTCTCTCAAATAAATAAAATCTTAAAAAAAATAGAGTCTGCCAAGTTTCTCCACTGTAAAGTTAATTTTTTTCTTTTGTAACAAATAATTTGTGAGGACATTTTGAGATTATATAAATGTCCTGTTCCTCATCAAACTTTTACCTACTAATTTTAAAATTATTAGTGATTCTTTTTTAAATCAGTTATTACTGTGATGATTATGAATGGTGATTTTTAACTCCCTCATTCCACTTATATTTACAAGCTGAAATTTCCATCTCCTTTATTTTTTTATTTATTATAAGAATAGATTCATGGGGGGCACCTGGGTGGCTCAGTGAGTTGAGCCTCTGCCTTTGGCTCAGTTCATGATCCTAGAGTCCTGGGATTGAGCCCCATGTTGGGCTCTCTGCTCAGTGGGGAGTCTTCTCTCTCTGCCTCTCCCCCAGCTTGTGCTCTCTCTCTCGCTCACTCTCTTAAATAAATAAAATCTTAAAAAAAAGAATGGACTCATGGATTCTTATTTAATTAGTTATAAGCCATTTCTGTCATTATGTGTTTCATATTTTTAGAATTTTTATACCCATACAACTGTATTTTTTTTAAAGATTATTTGAGAGAGAGAGAGAGTGGTGGGGGACCGGAGGGAGAGGGAGAGAGATCTCAAGCAGACTCCCCGCTGAGCATGGAGCTGATGTGGGGCTTGATTTCACAAGCCTGAGATCATGACCTGAGCTGCAGTGGAGTCAGATGCTTAACCAACTGCTTTTGGCTGCACTTTACCATTAACTCCAAGCCCCTGTGCATTAATGTGACTGCCCTTCTAGCACAAATTGGCACAGCCACAGTGCAGCGAGACTGTCCCCCAGAGGATCAGCATGGGTCCGTGCCTCGCTGGCTTCCTAAAATTTGGAGTTTTAAAACCCAGCCAGTGGACTTGAGATAAAACACAGGAGCAGTGCCCTGTCAGGTGAGCAGATGGCTCGGACACAGGATGAAAGCAGGGGTCTAAGAGATGCCTGGGACACATGAGGGGAGATTGTTCACTCTTCTGTGAGTGCTTCCTGAACAGCGGTGGTGTGAGCTCCGCCACCCCCCCCCACATCAGCACAGTGCCGACAGTGGAGGCTTTAGCCTATTATACCAAAGCCCCACCCACCTGAACAGCAGAGTGCACACAGCACACACCAGAAACACTTCCTGAAGTGCCAGGCCCTGGGCAGTATAGGGATCTCTTCTTAATATAGCCATTACTCTCAGGAGCAGGAAACATAACAGGCTTTCATAACACAGAGAAGACAGGGACCTAGACAAAATGCCAAGACAGAGGAATTCACCCCAAAAGAAAGAACAAGAAGAGGTCATGGCCAGGGATCTAATCAAAACAGATATAAGTAATATGCCTAAACCAGAATTTAGAACAACAATCCTAAGGTTAGGTAGCTGTGCTTGAGAAAAGCATAGAAGACACCACTCTCTTAGCACAGAGATAAAAGACCTAAAACCTAGTCAGGCCAAAATAAAAAATGCTATAACTGAGATGTGAAACCAACGGGATGTAATGGCCACAAGGATGGAAGAAGCAGAGAAACAAATTTAAGTGATGTAGAAGATAAAATTATGGAAAATAATGAAGCTGAAAAGAAGACGGAAAGAAAAATATTGGATCACAAATATAGACTTAGGGAACTCAATGACTCCATAAGTGTAATAACATTCGTATCGTAGGAGTCTCAGAAGAGGAAGAGAAGGAAAAGGAGACAGAAGGTTTATTTGAGCAAATTATAGCTGAAAACTTCTGTAATCTGGGGAAGGAAAGAGACATCCAAATCCAGGAGGCACAGACAACTCCCATCAAAATCAACAAAAGCAGGCGAACACCAAGACATATTGTAGTAAAATTTGCAAAATACAGAGATAAGGAAAGAATCCCTAAAGCAGCAAGGGAAAAGAAAACCCTAACCTACAATGAAACTAGGAGCTGGTTTCTTTGAAAGAATTGATAAAGGTGATAAACCCCTCGCCAGACTTATCAAAAAGAAAAGAGAAAGGACCCAAATAAATAAAATCACAAATGAAAGAGGAGAGATCACAACCAAGACCACAGAAATACAATTATGAGAGAATAGTATGAAAAATTTTATGCCAAAAAATTGGGCAATCTGGAAGAAATGGATAAATTCCTAGAAACTATAAACTGTCAAAACTGAAACAGGAAGAAATAGAAAATTTGAACAGACCTATAACCAGTATAGAAATTGAATCAGTAATCAAAAATCTCCCAACAAAAAAAAGTCTAGGGCCAGATGGTTTCCCAGGGGAATTCTACCAAACATTTAAAGAAAAGTTAATACCTATTCTTTCAAACTGTTCCAAAAAATAGAAATGGAAGGGAAACTTCCAAACTCATTCTACAAGGCCACCATTATCTTGATTCCAAAACCAAAGACCCCACTAAAAAGGAGAATTACAGGCCAATATCCCTGATGAACATGGATTCAAAAATTCTCAACAAGATACTAGCAGATAGAATCCAACAGTATATTAAAAGAATTATTCAGTACAATTAAGTGGGATTTATTACTGGACTGCAAGGGTGGTTCAGTATTTGCAAATCAAAGTGATACACATTAATAAAAGAAAGGATAAGAACCATATGATCCTCTCAGTAGATGCAGAAAAAGCATTTGACAAAGCATCCATTTTTGATAAAAACCCCCAACAAAGTAGGGCTAGAGGGAACATACCTCAACATCATAAAGGCCATATACGAAAGACACAGCTAATTTCATCCTCAATGGGGAAAAACTGAGAGCCTTTCCTATAAAGTCAGGAACAAGACAGGGAGGTCCACTCTCACTATTGTTACTCAACACAGTACTGGAAGTCCTTGCCTCAGCAATCAGACAACAAAAAGAAGTAAAGATATCAAAATTGGCAGAGAAGAAGTCAAACCTTCACTATTCACAGAGGACAAGATACTCTATGTAGAAAACCCAAAAGACCACCAAAAAATTGCTAGAGCTGATACATGAATTCAGCAAAGTTGCAGGATACAAAATATGTTGCATTTTTATACACCAGTAATGAAGCAGCAGAAAGAGAAATCAAGGAATCGGTCCCACTTACAACTGTAC